AACTTATAATTATTTTGGATGATATAATCATTAAATCCATCATTGTTGTTGTTTTATGGTATTTGCAAGTTTCAATGATGTACCTTTTTTGTTGGCAAAAAGGTTTCATTGCTTGCTGCCAATGTTGGACCATATTCATTAATCATTAGGGGGAACCTTGGTCTAGGCAACCCCACCGGGGCAACCCAGGGTAGGGATTTGCAACGAGGGAATGATTTTGGACTGTTCAATCTAAGGCATTGTATTTGTAAATTTTAGTGCAAATGATGAAAATACTACCTTTAAACTCTATAAATTGGCCCCATTTGAAAACATATGGATCGATTTTAGTTGAGAGAAACATCATATTTTTATGAAAAATCCAAAACTTTGACCCCCATAAAATCTCCATTTGGTCATTTCTGGTATTTTACCGATCTAAGCTCTCTTCTGTCTCCTTGGTCGCCTGATCTTCTCTGTTGGTAGGAGAACGGTTATGCCAACTGCCTTACAACCCAATAGTTGGCTATCGCTATTGATCGTCATTTGTTGCCCATCATGAACTAACTTTGACTTCTTTCAGACGCTTGACAATCAATGATTGTTGTCACTTCTTTTCTGATGCCCGTTGATGATTAACTTTCAACATCCCTCCTTGAAGGGGTTGATAAAAAAAAATGGTGTTTTTTTATACACACCTTGGAAAACTTAGTATTAAAATTGTTGGATCCTATGCCTATTAGTTGTGCTAGCATCTGACTAGGAGAAAAAGAGAAGGTTATTGGGAGTTGGTAGAGGGGAATACTAAGAGAAAGAAAGGAAAAATCTACTCTGAATGAGCAGTAATACAATAAAATAGAGGCCAAAATCCCATAAAAGTTTTGAGCTATTGAGTCTGATTGTCTTTGTATTGGTAGAGATTTGAGTTTGAGCACTACAAGAATAGCTATAGAATGTGTTATACATGCGAAAAAGTACCAAGTATAAGAAGCCTATAACTTAAGGACTTGGATTATTAGTCAACTCTCTGACTTAGAAAAGTAGCCACTGTTTCGGTGGCAGTTGCGGAGTAAGCATTAGGAGAGTTCTTTATGATCTTAATCGAAGTATCCCTTTAGTTGGCAGACAAGTTCACTTTGATTTTAGTGAGTGAGTGCCTTGAGCTCAGTTGGCGAGTTCTGAGAGCTGATTGGGGAGTTTTTTTGAACTCAACATAGTGAGTTCATCTTGAGCTCAGCTGGCTAGTGTGACTACTTGCATTTTATTATAAGGGAGTTAACCCTTAGTTTGTACAAAAACACTAGTTGCTCTATTCAATTCCTGGATGGGAAGGAGCCGATACCATTCCCTTTACATTTCTCACCAGCGCTAAGGTGCTAATACCAAATCACAAAACATACTACTATCTTTGAGAAACTTTGATAGATGGAAAAGTTGTGGAATGGAAACCCGATAAAAGGCATTGGGTATATCTTGCCTTCGATCCTACATGTAAAGACTTGTTATGCAATTAACGATATAAAAGCCCAAGGAATGTTGCTATTGCTTTCACTCCTCGGGTGCCCATTTCTGGACAGCTCCTATATGGCAAACAAGCTACCATGGTCGAGCTATAAGAGAATAACTTGGGCACAAAAAATCACTCTAGACTTACCTTCATCAGTTGGTTGAAATATGAACGACATAAGGAAGAAAGACTGTTTTGTTTGAACATACTCTGAAATGCTATTTTTACTCCTAGAGGCATCGATGCATGGGCTCACCTTCAATACCAAAGCGACGCTTGTCAAAAAGCTCTTGAGGCGAATGCATCTTGAAATCCATGAAATGTCACAATAGAAACAAAGTAGCTTGTTTCATTCGAGTTAAAAATGTTCCAATTAGATCACCACTGTTTTCCTTGTGAATAGCAATAATGATTAGATTAATTCCTGCAGCAACATCCACGACCGAAACAAATTTCGCCCCAAAGTTTGATTTTCCTTGTAAATTTTAGAACTCATGGTTGATTATAAATTGTCCTATGATATGTTCTCATTTCATGAACGGTTCTTCCATCTACAATCAAGTCAAATTAACTTCAAAGGATGAAAATCAGACATATTTTTGAACGTCGATCGACATGTTATGCTATTTGGTAATACTCTTTGTTCATGATAAATCCTGGGCAACTTATTAAAGAACCATGACTCAGATTTTTTATGACCACACACCAAGATTTTGAATTTTACATCAACGGTCTATTTTGCAAAAGATTGCACATCTCAAGGCATTTTGATGATGTCAAAATTGTCTTTGAGTGATTGAGAAACTATAATGTCAATATGTGCCTCTAAAATGTGCTTTTAGGGTCTCATTAAGTCACCATTGTGGTATCAAAATCAATCCCTCAAAAACCATCTATGTCTAGGTATGACATTACCCAGGAATATTCTTCATCTTTGTTCCATCTAGGGATAACTCACCTACATCTAGAGATCCATATTGAATCTATTGAGCAACCTAATTTTTTTTAAGGTTTATGTAGAAGGTAGCTTCCTTCATTTGGGATGGAACCTGAAAAAAAAACATTCAATAAAATTAAGTTGTATATGCTTCAAAGTTTAATCTCGACAACTCCAACCCAACACAATGAGAACAGTAAAGAAAACACCTTTCGCTATCTCAATCAAAGAATGGTATGAGTTAAAGCTTATTATTTTCTATCAAGCCCTAATATTGGGTGTTGATATTTGTCATGAAAAGGCTCCCAACATTACTTAGCCCACAAGATCGCATTAATCTCAAGGGTGGACCCATTGAAGTTCTTGATAATGAGACAAACTCCTGCAAGATACCTAGCCGAATGGTCATGTTACTCTTATTATTATACATTTGATATATGCTCTAACAAGGGCAAGTGTTGTTTAACTTTTTGGTGATACATTATATACAAGCAAACTCTCCCCCAAACAATAAACCAAATGATAAAGAAGAAGATCAGCAACCCTCTAGGAGATTCACTTTGATGGAGTTCGCCATGAAATCAAGATTTATGCCTTGACTATCAAAAGTTGCGCTAGAAATAACATATTCTTCTTACATCGAGACGTGCAAGACAGACTACTAGCTGGCTTTTTTTTTTTAACATCTGACCAAGAAGAAAGTAGGATTTGATCTCTTATGGTTAGCCTCCAAGTTGTAGAAGGATTATAGATTCAAAGACTACGAATCTAGTATGGTTCTCAATTCACAATTAACCATGCAATAGTTACTATGAATTCAACAAGTGCGAGTTAGCATTTATTGCATGAGCGTCTTTTGTAAAGGATAAACCCACAAAATCACTTTGTTCCCAATGGTGGACCAACGTGATGATAAGTCTAATTTTGATAAGATTGTTGACCAGATATTCATACTATCATACAGTTTGACATGTCATATATGCCTCAAAAGAGAAAAAAATATTACGTGCAGACTGGGTAAGTATTTATTTGGTTGTATTGTAGTGGTATTGATGTGATAGTTACCACAATACCACCAATTCACACATACAGATACTACCGTAATATTCACTTCTCAAAAGGTGGATCAAAAAGCAAGCTTTGTCCGACGTTTTAGCTATACATGTTAAACCAATATACTTTCCCCTCAACAAGAGCTGAATGATAGAAAACATCAGTAACCCATCGGGAGTGTTCTCCATATGTTCAACAATGCTGCCCCAATTTTCTGAAGTTCCGCTAAAATTTTGTCGTCTTCATCACGTTGAATCAAGCAACGCACTCCACTACTCCATGGCCTCTTTGAACCTTAAATAATAACAAAGTAGAATTTTAAGTTCTTATGGTTGGACTTAATTATTTATAAGCTTTATAGATTCAAAGACTTCACATCCTCGAAGACTCACTTTGCCATTAACCAGATGATAGACACCTCAAAGATCAACAAGATGAGTTAGCATTCTTTCGCCAGTAGGCGTTGAACCTTATGTGAAGGGTAACAGAGATTAACCTGGAATGTGTGACCCGACTATAACAAACGAGCAAATTCCCATTCAAAGCTTGCAAACTAGATGGGCAAATAAGAAGGGGATGAGCTTATGATCATTATGACCTGAAGTTGAGAATCGTTTGCGCCAACAAATATGTGCAAAATTTTAAGCTATCTAAAGCCCTAACTTGCCTTTCAGAAAATCCTAACCAAACTCCAGCACTGGCAAAACAAATCTCAAAGCCTAAGATTGCTTCTACAAATGGAAATATGAATGTTCGAGCTATTAAAGACCAAGTTATTGGCATCAGTTGCTTGTTGCTCGTTTAAAGGACTTAGCCCTCCAAGAAATAAACCCTTCTCTTAATCTTGTTGTCCATCCATGTTATCAACACTTTGCATCAAATTTGCTTAAATCTAATTTGGACGAAGTTAAAATCACCACAGACAAGATCAATGTGAGTTTGTGGAGCTCATCCATTTGGCCTTAAAAATGATAATAAAGATCAAAAGAATTGGTTACTACTAGCCAAACATAATTTTTTTATTGCATTAGGTTGCCAAACCATTTACACCCAATGATGGTATCCCAGTCTTCCAAAAGATGAGGAAAAAATATCATAGATTCAATCGACCCACCATCAACATTTGTCCGTTGCTTCCTTCATCTTAGTAGTGACAGACTACTTTCTAAAATGACCAAAAGTTATTTCACTTAGAAGTCATCATGGAGTGATTAACTCATTTGGTGAACATAAATCATCGATTGATTTTATATGCCCCATTGATAATGGGCCAACCTTCAAAAGCATCAACACGAAGCATTCCTACTCATGTCTTCAATTATCAAATAAATGGCTTTCAGAATAGAAACAGCAGGAGTCAAAGTTCGGATGATGCTCCAGAACTACAACAATATCCAGTGAAGCTTGAAGATGAAGTCTGAAAGTTTTATATTACCACAGTTATACTAACACTCTTTAACGTTCCAGCAGAACACACAGATTTAGCATCTCCTCACATTGGTGCTATTATTATAAAATCTGCAGCGCAACGCAAGAACTTTTGAAGGCATGCTAAATTACAATCTTGCTGAGTCAACATATGTGACATAACAAGTACCGGAGGATCGAGCACGGTGGGGTGATTTTTATGGCCGAGTTCATGTAAAGTGAGTTCTTTGATGAATCTTTTGTGTTTTCAAATAATTGGTTTGGAAAACTTTTGATTCGTATGGTACTGAGTAGATGCCCAATGAGAAGCTCTTTGCTGAGAGGGTTCTTGAAGGCGTGCTAAATTTGAAAGATTTTAAGTTGTCTTGAAAAGCTATAAAGCATGATAATAAATAGAGCAAGTGCATGTCAAGATTCACATACAAATTTGATTGGTCAAATGAACTCCAAATTTGATATTTATAATTGAATCGAGTGTCTTGAAGAGAGAATTCCAACAAGCCCAAGTTTCTTAAATTTTTTAGATCGTTGAGATGATAAAGTCACTACAAAAATCATCTATGATCAAAGGACAAGTGATTAGGAAGTTATGCATCAAAACACCAAAATGTCTCTCCGCAAAAGGTTATAAATTGGCCCATTCTCTTCACTTGTGAGGGAGCTAGGAGGATAAAGAGAAGGGGAATTTCATAACTTGTTCTAGAGAGAAACTTGATGATAAACATGGTGGCCAAAGCCTATGACCATCAGTTGTAACGACATGATGCCGACCACCGGCCCCTGGGGACATTTGCTTGCAACTTTTGTATTCCAAATACAGCTGTTATGTATAACACCTGTATTGAAGAGACAACAATAACCACCAACCTATGTAGTTGTCAATCATCGTCTGTCAGTCATTGTTGACAACTATTGGTCGTTGCCACCTCCAACCACATGCCTCCGGGGAGCTTTGCTTGCAACCATTTAGCCAAACTAAGATATTTGTGGTTAATTGCTTTTATTACAACCACAAACTATAATACCTATAACCAACTACTGCTGTTATTACAACAACCAACTACTACTATTAAGGTTATTAATTATGTCATCTATGGCTAACTTCTGCTATTGTAGCCATCAACTACAACTTTTATACCGAACTATTGTTGTTATTACTAGAACCAACTACGGTTTTTTTTTGCCAACTATTACTATTACAGTTTCTAACAATGACATTTATGACCAATTACGACTATTGCAGCCACCAACTACAACTTTTATATCTAACTATTTTGCTATTACAATAACCAACTACAACGTATGTGGCTAGGGCTGCCATAACGGCTCATTGTTCGCGAACAACTCGTGTTCGGCTCGTTCACTAAGTTAACGAGCCAAACACAAACAACATGAACAAATTTTTGTTCGCTCGTGTGTGACTCGTTTTGGCTCGAAATATTACTAATCAATTATATATATATATCTTTGATGAGTAGTATTTTTTAAAAAAAATAATTGACTACAAGGCTACAAAGATTTATAATCAATTAAAAGTATTAATAAAGAAAATAGAATAAAAAATATTAAATTAGATTCAAATGATGTTTTGAATCTTGTCACAATCCTTAACATCTTATTTAGGGTTATCAAAATAGCTCTTTGTGCGTGAACGGCTCGTGTTCGGCTCGCTAAGCAAAAGAGTCGAACACGAACACACTTTTTGAGCTCGAAATATAAACGAGCCGAACACGAGTTGAGCCTGGGCTCACTCTTGTTGGGCTCGTTTACACCCCTATATGTGACTAACTACCACTGTTATAGTTTTTAACTACAGCCGTTGTGATCATCTACTATTGTAACCACAAAATATAACATTTATGGCTAATTACTGTTTTTGCAACAACCAACAATAACATTTGCGGCTAACTACTATTATTATATCTTCCAACTACGACCTTTATAACCAACTTTGGCTATTTCAACTACTATACATCATTTATGGCCAGTTATTATGTTTGTAGTAACTAACTACGACATTTATGACCAACTATTGCTATTATAGCAAGAACCTGATTATTATAACTAAATTATGAATATTATAGTTAAAATACTATTATACAAGCGTGTTTTTCAGCTGTTTTTTTTTATCTTTTCTAATTCAAGAAAGGATTTGACTTATGTACCTACATTTATGTAGTGGATTATTTTAGCTATGCTAGCCTCCGTGATTTTTTTCCTTTCAAGACTTTCCACTAAAAAAATATTAGCGGCCCTTATTTTTTTAATTATATGTGATGAATTTTCATGCAACACTAAGACATTAAAATACCGCTCTACAAACATAAACTTTCCGACACATGTCAATCATCATTTGGTTGATAAGGTTAAAATTTATTTGTTTAATAATACTTTTAGGTATAAATAATACTCCAAGTGAAATCTATACTTGTTTTTTTTTTAACTTCAATTATTGTATGTTGAACATGCGTTTTTATAAATTTCAGATAATTTTTTTTTCACTTTTTATTTCCCTAATTAACAAATTTATTATTGCCTCCTATGTAAGGAAAAATCATGAAATTCATCTTTTTTTCTTGAGACCTTTAATTTCTGTCTAATGTACAATCGTTTTCTTTGGGATAATTACATGCGGAGCACCCAAAACATTGTTATTTACAAATCGTGCACCCAAGCAATTTTTTGAACTGTTGAACCGCTGCATTTACGTGTGTCAGTATCAAATCATTGAGAATTTGATAAAAATAAAAGGTACTGATTGTGGTTTTATGATGAATTTTGATATTTGAGTGAGAATTTGAAACATGGATGAAATAGGGTGCTTGATTTGTAAATAGCAATGTTCTTTTGAGGAGAACAAGCTCTAATACTCCCCATCTCAAGATTCCTCATATTATTTCTAATAAGATTCTTCATATTATTTCTAACAAATGTGTTATATATTGGAGCTCATTTTTATTTCATATATTTGCCAGAGAATAATGCGAAAACAATCAATCTCTTTTTTTTTTTTATCTTTCTTTCTGAAAGAAATAAGAAATAATAATAATAATAATAATTTGGGCTATCAAAAAAACTGTTTTAATCCATCAATAAGTTCGTGTTTGATTCGTTCGATAAGTAAACGAGACAAAAATAAATAATTTTTTTTTCATTCGGTTAGTTAAACGAAACAAACACGATAATTGATGCGTTCGTTCGTGTTCGAATGGTTATTGTTCGAAATATAAAATAATTTAAAATAATTATTTATAAAAAAATTTATGATATTTTAAAAAATTAAAATTTATAAATTATAATATATAATAAATTAATAATAAGAATAGATTAATATATTATATTAGTAATATACTAATATAGATTTTATATTTTTATATAATATAAGTTATATAATTAATATAATATATTATTTATTTATATTAATATAAGAGATACCAAACTGGCTCGTCGTTCACAAACAACTCGTGTTCGGCTCGTTCGTTAAGAAACAAACAAGAACAGTAACTTTACGAACAATTTCGAACACAAACTTATTTCAAACAAACTAAATTTCAAACGAACCGAACACAAACACAAACTCTGTGTTTGCTTCGCTCTGCTTATTTTGTTTGCTTCGCTGGCATAATCATGCATTTTTTACATTGAAAATGTTATTTATGATTTTTATATTTTCATTAAATGTGCATATTTTCAAAAAGCCTTGCATATCTCTGTGAGCAATTGCAAGACAAATTGTAGCATGCTGAAATCTGTCGCATTGACGTGTTGGAACATTCACATGGCCATGCGACAGTCGTATTATTTAATGAAGAATTTGTGTGGGGTTTTTTGTCTATATCGTTAGGCTTTAGCTGTTGCCAACTAATGAGCGTCTCACGAGATACCACCGACAAGTAAAACATGCAAATAATTTATGCGGGATGCTTGGCTTACGAAAGCATATCATTTAGTGACGAATATTATAATTTTTATTTGTCATGTGGTGGAATATTGTGAAGGGTAGGGCATAAATATAATGTCTTCGCATTGCATAAAGTATTAAATTTTGAAATTATACACTTAACCACTAGATTATGATAGGTGTGAATAAAAATTTAATAGTATAAAAAAATATACATTATTACATGAGGAAAACAATTTCTTATTTGAAATATTCTAGAAGGTTTTTTTTTTTTTTTTTTTTTTTTGAAAGATAATTATGTTATTGTTAGGTTTTTCTTCGTATCAAGCTATTAATTTTGACTATAAATTATTGAAAATAGGGTTTAATTAAGTTTTTGATTTTACATCAATTAGTCCTATTTTCAAGCATGAAAATCGTTTAATTTAAATAGTAATTTGATCTTAAAAATTTTAAAATTTTAAAATAACAATTTAAACTTCATAATGCTCAATAATTCTCGGTACATCAATACGAATCTCTCCTCAAAGTTGTGTACCAAACAACTTCATGTTGATCATAATTTTACCCATTAGTGAGGTTGACACATTATTTGCTAATTTTTTCTTACAAAATAATTTAGCTCTAAGTTTACTAAATTTGAGGTGTGAAAGTGTTGAATTTGAGGCCAAAGTGCAATTGAAATGCATGGAGTAACAATATAAATATGTGTGATTTTTTTTTCGAGGCTAATATTGGGCTCCAAGCATGCAAGAGCAAGCTAGACACTCGATCAACCCATATTTGGACCCAAAATTGAGCTCTTACATTAACACTATGTGGTAAAAGTTGAAAATCTTTTTAGAAGAATAACAGAGAGCGAAAGAATTTAGAAAAGCACAAAGAAGATAAGTCTTATTATTGTTCTCGCCTTTATTACAAATACATTTAATATTGATGTGTCTGTCATGGGCATAATAGTAATATTATATTTTGATGACAATCAGTTATTTAATAACAAAGACAAGCCCTACATGTAGGGACAACCGATAAAAGGAAAAATCAGAGAAGAGTGAGGCAGTTGCGATGTCAAGGAGGACATTCTCACTTAAATAAGGCAAGCTCTCTTTTACTCCTTTCAAAGTGATGATCTCTTGAGCAAATCATTAGTTTGGTGGTGAGTTGTTGATGACTATTTAAGAAAAGAGATTTGGTGAAAATATTCGCTTGTTGATCTTCTGACATGATATATTGAAGTGATATATGGTCA